ATCGGGGCATGATGATAATGACATGTTCTGAGAAATACATCATTGGGTAATTTGGGGAAAGCACACTGGCATGACTATGATATCATCAGTGATAATCTTGGGGGACAGAGGTCCATAATCTGCTTGTCTTTATGCAGCACCCAACCACGCCAGGCTGTCACATGTACTGTGAAGGAAAATAAAGGAGAGAATACTGTGTGTGCGCACCATATGCTTTTAGGGCATGGTCAAAGACTTTTTTCTTGAAGAAATCTAAGGGTGAGGGAAAAAGTCATACAGCAAATGAGCGTTTTACACAAGACAACAGCAAAGTAAAGGTCCTGCAGCTGGGCTGGACCAACTGGTTCATTCTCTGCTGTGTTCATTCTCTGCGGAAGTATGAGGCATATTAAAGAACCAAGGAAGTCACGTTAGAGGGGAGTGGCAGGTGCAAGCAGCTTAGGTCATGTTCAGCAGTGCATGGAAATAGATACTGTGGAATGGAATTCACTGAACTGGTAAAGGAGAGAGAAGAACTCACTCTTTATTTATTTCTATGCTGGGAATTGAGCCCAGGATCTTGGGTGTGCTAGACACCTATTCTACCCTTGAGCTACACTCCCCAGCCCTAAAATAACAATGACAGTGACATGAAACTTGGAAATTGCTTAAGATTGAGTGTGACAGAGCCTGTGGAAATACATACCTATGCACAAGTGCACACATATAGTATTTACCTCTTGCACACAAATAATTAGAACTCTGATTTAGTGTGATATTTAACTAAAAAAATAATGACTCAATGAAAACCAGTGGCTTATGCATTCATTTTAATGAGAACTTGGAAACAGACGTGGAATAAAAACAATGCCTTGTGAGTGGGATTATTTTGTAGAGAATATACCACCATTAAAAAGTTCAAGGGGAGCCTGAGGAAAGAGGATCACAAGTTCGAGGCCAGCCTGGGCAACTTACCAATATTGTGCCTCAAATTCAAAGTAGGGAGGTAGCTCAGTGGTAGAGCACTTGCCTAGCATGTGCAAGGCCCTGGGTTCAATCCTAGTACAACAACAGCAAAAAGTTCAGAGGAAACAAATGCTTTTTTTCTGGCATCTTGCTTTTTACTTGGAGGAAGAGTACTTGAATGTGGGTTGGCAGTAATTGACTGTGAAACCAGCAGATAAACTGGGATATTAATTAGGCTAAGGTGAGTGCTAGTGATACTATCGGCCCCCTAAGTGGCCCCCTGCAGGCCGAAGCTGGCCTTCAGCAGAGTCCCATTACTCCAGGATGTTGCTTTTGGGGTGGTTTAGCTTTGACTGTGACAATTGCCTCTTGTGGCCCAAAATGTCTTCCCCCTTCGTGGTACTTGGCAGCTGTCCCCACTCTGAATTAAAGGTTCAGAATGCTTGTTGATGTAACATTTTTGGGTAACATGCTCTTAAAATTTCTTCTAAAATTTGTGCTGTGGATTGAACCCAGGGCCCTGTGCGTGGTAAGCACATGCTCTGCCACTGGGCTACGCCCCCAGTTAAAAATACCTTCGTAGGGTTATTCTAATTGCTCCAAAAAGTGACGCCTGTGGGGCTCTCGGTTCTGTTTTCATCACGTTTCACAAAGGTTAAATCGTCCACCCGTTCCGTGGTAGTCGTGTGCGTAGATGAAATCTACTGTGGTTTCTGACTGAGCTCTCAAACCACGGAGCTGACAGCCTTCCTCTCGAGTGCTGAGTCAGCGCGTGTCCGTGTTCATTCACAGGAATGAAGGGTCGTGGTCGCTCGTGACCTTGGCCCAACCCTGAGGTCGCTTTCAAATCTGAAGCCCAGGGTTCCATCCCTGGCTTCTCCCTTCCTGAACCGTGCCGTGGCGTGGTAAGTGGTAAAGCAACCTGGAATCCTTGGGTATTCATTAAATATTAGAAGACATTTGTCATTATGATATTTGTGGTCTGTTTAAACTCAGGGAGGAAGGGACGAAGGCAGAGGAGCAGAGAGCCCGGGAACCGCAGGACTCTCAGCGCCACCACCTTAGTGAGGACGGCGAGAGGTAGAAATGGTGTGGACAGAGTTTTTGCTTTAAAGGGCGGTACTGGAGCTTCACGGAGGGGCTGTAGAGCCCCCAGGGCACGGATAAGATTCAGGGGTCCCTGAGCTTGAGTGGAAATTCCATCTTCATTTTCACTGACCTCTAACAGAAATGGAGAGTTTTATTCAACTTCGAACATAGAAATTCATAGAGCATAGCTGGAGATACCGTAGCCATGACTTTATACCAGTGGACACCAGTATCTTCGTATCACATTACAGTTCTCAGAGATTTCCTATAATACCATTTATACTCATGATTTGCTTGAAATTAGAATGGGCATATGTTAGGGGGAAAGCCCATATATTATTACATCATAGATGGTTTTAAAAATATTTGGTAGGTAAGGCAGGCATGGTACCACACACCAATAAACCCAGCACTTGGGAGGCTGAGGCAGGAGAATCACTGTGAGTTCAAGGCCAGCCTGGGCTACAAAGTGAGTTCAGAGCCAGCCTGAACTGCATAGCGAGACCCTGTCTCAAAAAAAAAAAAAAAAAAAGAAAAGAAAAGAAAGTTCATGGTGGAGTGTAGATTCCACGATGATTCTCTGAGGAAAGAGTGCGGGGTCCAGAAGAGGGAGGCACGCTACAGAGCTGGAGCTCGCACGCAGGCAGCCATTCAGGCTTTCATTCTCTGCTGTGTTCGTTCTCTGTGGAAATGTTTATTGTGCTGGGGACGCAGCTCAGTGGTAGAATTTAACTTGTGCTCACCTTGTACTGGGCCCCAGGTTCAATCCCAACACAGCAAAATTACAGTTCTTATGTGGTGCACCCCACCTGCATGTATTCAGGAGGATGAGCTGTGTGAACTGTTGAACACTGCAGTATTCCGAAATTTCTGTGCAGCTTTTACAAAGCCCGTGACTCACAGGGCCTCCTGCACCTGCAGATGCCCATCAGATGAAGGTGCGGGCACTGGGGACTCCTGGGTGCTGTGCTTCCCGCAGCATTCTTGCCTAAGAGTAGGACCTACAGGAGCCCGCGGCACACTGGCCCATGGGAAGGCTTTGCCTTGTCTGATGTGACCACCGGGGAGGACAGAGGTATTGGAAGGAAGCTCACTTGAGGGACACCCCCTCCCCACTCCTGCTCGCTTGGCTGGTACTTATATCTAACTCACTATCATTGACCGTAGCTTACTGTGGTGATTTTCTCACCCGAACTTGCAGTAATAAAGATAAAGTTGAGCGGAGCCTTCCGTGGAATAATTCTGAAGCGGTTAGTTTGGTTTAACTGCAGGATGATAAAACCAATCGCAAGGATCTTCTAGCTTGGGGAAAGCTCCTGTGTCAGTGGTGTAAAAGCTCCAGAGAGTGAGCTGATTGGTGTGCTGGAAGGAAGGGTGTCACTTCAGGGAATGTCCTGTGTCCTCTGTCCACAGATGACCCCAAAGCTAGCAAAGAATCGAGCCTCACCTCGTTAAATGTCACACTGTGATGTTCAACATAGAGTGCGCATGTAAATGAGGGCTTGGTTAGGCCTGATTTTCAAAGGGTTAGGAGGTGATCAGCACCCTGGTTTGTATGGTATGTTGCTCCTACATGCAGCCAGTTCTGCCAGAGTCAGGTCAGGGTGAGCTCACAAATGTCGCTGGCCTCCCAGGCCGGTGATGATCACACTTTGTAGATCTCATGAACTTTTTTCCTTCTCCGTGACTGCTTGCCCTGTGGTTGCTTTACTGATGATTAGCGTGGGAGGCTGGGGAAGGAGAATTTCAAAACAATGTCTCACAATAGTCATTCTTGTCTTTTTTCATACTGGCTATTTTTTTTTAATTTTAATTTTTTAATTTTTCATACTGGCTATTGAACCCAGTCCTTTTTATTTTTTATTTTGAGACAAGGTAGTGCTAAACCATCAAATTTCTCAGGCTGGGTTTGAGCCTGTGATCCTCCTGCCTCAGCTTCCCAGAGTGCTGGGATTATAGGTGCGCACAGCTAGTTGCTATTTTCCTGAGAGTTCCATGCAGGGCATTGAGTTAAGCACATCATGGTTTCGTTCGATCCTCACTAAAGGAAGAGAATGTGTAGAATTACTATTTACTCTCCGCATCTGGATACTCAAGGAGGGTGAGAAATCTGCCCGAGTTTGCACACCGGTAAGTGATAGAGCCTTGATTCAATCCAGGCTGGGTGGCAGCAGAGCGTAGGCTCCTGCCCACCACGCTGCACTCCGGTGCTCCCTGGTCCTGAGGCGGGTGCGTGATGACACCGTGCGAAGAGAGACACATCAAAACCGCACCGAGACCCCTCCTCACACTCAGAGGATGACGATGGTGGGTTTTTTTTAATGGAGAAATTGTAAGCATAAGTGGGGAAACTGAAGCTGCCATTCATTGCTGGTGGGCATGGGAAGAGCTGCAGCGGCTGTGGAAAGTAAACTGACAGCTGCCCCAAAAGTCAAACATCGGGCCGGGGATACAGCCCAGCAGCCCAGTGCCTGCCTGGCAAGCGCAAGGTGGTGAGTTTGACACCGGAAAAAAAAAGTCAGACATGACTACTGCGAGGTGTGGCTTTCCTGCTAAGCGCAGCCAAGAAAACCCAAATCACAGATCCACACAGAAAACTTACACACTGGTCCGGTGTCCATAACAGCGCTATTCACAACAGCCCCAAAGCAGAAGCAGCCCAGGAGGCCGTTAACTGGTGAATTGGAGAAGAAGATGTGCTGCAGCCATGCAATGGAATATTACTGAGGCTTGAAAAGGAAGGAAGTACCGATTGATGCCACAACCTGAACAGACCCGGGAAAGAGGAGGCCAGGTGGAAGATGCCACTCATGGACCGCACTACTATGATCGATGTGATTGCGTTTTTTTTTTTTTTTTTTTTTTTTGGTTTTTCTCCGGTACCGGGAACCGAACTCACGACCTTGCGCTTGCCAGGCAGGCGCTTTGCCGCTGAGCTAAATCCCCAGCCCCGTGATTGCGTTTTTACTACATGTCTGGAGCAGGCAAATTCACAGAGACAGAACAGCTGCGAGGGTGCCTGGGGCTGGCGTGGTGACATCATGGGTATGGGATTTCTTTTTGACCCATGGGTACCTTCTGTGATTAGGTCATGGTGATGGTGGCATAGTGTAGTGAATATACTAAAACTCACTGAATTGTACGCTTTAAAGCAGACTCTTAATTTTTTGAAAAGGCAACCTTAGGGTCAGCTCTAGGGGAGTCCTCAAGTCCTGGACTGCATGGTCCAGGTTTTACGGTGGGCAGCAGGGAGCCACTGAAGTTTCTAAGGAGGATAGTGGCCCAGCTGGGCTCGTGTGATCTGCAAAGCGCTCAGTGTAGCAGACATGCTGATAAATCCCGGCTCTCTTTCCGCTCCCTCTGTCACCCTCCCTCCGGGGCACAGGACTATCGTTCCTTCCTGTTTAGGTCCCAGTGAAACCAGGTCTGCCAAAGTCCAGCCACTCTCGCTATGATCTCCCCCTCCCAGGATTCCCCTGGCTATCTGCTGGGGTGCCTAGACCCTCGGGGAGGGGCAGGCTCCTCTTAGAGCCACCACACCACCCGCCTCCTTTCTGTCTTTTTTCTCCTCCTCGTCAGCTTCCTTTCCCTCCTCCTACAGCACCTTGCTCTCCTCTTCCTTTTCTTCCTTTTTTTTCTTTCCCTTCTTTTAAATCTAAGATCTTGGTTTTCTCAGGTCCCACTCGGGTCCCCGCTTTGCCCGCCAGTGTCACACAGTGCCACGTGAGTGCTCTGGTGCCCGCTTCTTCCTTCACCAGCCCCACCACCAGGAGCACAGAAAAGCGGAGTGAGGCTGTCCGGGGCTCCAGCCTGGGTCCCTGTCCTGCCAGTCAGGGACAGCCGCTAGTGTGCGCCTGTGGAAAGCGCAGAAAGGCCAACTCCTGGGAGGCTCTGGAGGGCCACAGGTGGCTCACTAAGGGATGAGAGTCCGGTGCCTGGTGCACCAGCTGTGCCCATGAAATGCCAGCTGCAGCATCTGGGAGCTTATGGAGTTAGGGGACAGCACGTAGCAAAAGCTTCAGTCTTCATTAGGAAGTGATTTCATCCCTGGAATCTCAAATATTTTAAGGACACCCTAAAAGCTTTGACACGGAGACCTGCTAAAGGCGCACATCCTTTCCCAACAGGAGAGAGCTGTTTCCAAGAAGCAGTTGGAAGTGCCACTATCAATGGGACAGGGACTCTGGGGATTTTGAGGTCAGCAGCTCAATGCGACTCTTGCCGCGGTCGGGGTGGGGACTTCCCACGAAGCCCCACCCCGCCTGAGTCACAGCCCCAGGGCTGACCTGCAGCGCTCACTCGGGCTCAGAGCTCGCTGTGAGCAGCAGCAGAAAGCTCTCTGCGGCTCTGAGATTGCAAGGTTGGTGCCTTGGGGACCTGAGCTTGGGGGACGGGGACTGGAAATCTTTGGTCTCATCACAGCTTTCTAGACTTTCTGCCCTTCTGATCTGTGATAACTTCTCTTCAATAACCAGTTGTATACAGATTTCTTTAAAAAATGAAGTGTTTAAACATCTTTCAAATCTCAAAATAGGTGAGTCCTTGTACAGGTTGGTGCAGTGTTAGCAGTTCCGCGCAGCCCCGGGGGAGGAGTGGCCTCTGGAAGGACTCTGTTTCCCAGGCAGCGAGGGCCTGGCCTTATTGCAATCTGGATGCTGATGCTGAGTGTGTGTGAAAGTCCCCAAAAGTTCTTCCTATTGTTAGTTTTGCAGGGTTTTTTTTTTGCAGAACAACGTTGGACCTGTCACTCTTGGACTTTAGCAAACACACACAGGGCTGCGTGTGTAGTCACACCTCCCTTGTCCTAGAGGTTTCTGTGAATGTGCTAGTTTCCCATGGTATTCCATTGTTCCTTCTGCCCGAAAATGCTCCTGTGGGATGGTATCAGTAATGACTGAAAGGTAGGTCATTCTGGAAGAAGCCTGGGGAACGTCTACATTTTGCAGGGTGACGTTTCTGAGGCCGCGCGTGTGGTTGCCGTTCTCCTGGGATCCTCTGTGGTAGTGTCCGAGCCATGCAAGGTCTGGTCATGGGAAGTGGCTTCCGCGGCACGGTGGTGGCTGTGCTGTTGCTCGCCAATTTCGAGAGGACAAGTTGCATGCTGGATTCCTGTGGCAAATGTCCTGCTGGTAAGTACCAACGTGACATGTTCAGTGACCTCTCTTAGGTTTCGCTCCTTCTTATTTTGTTTTGTTTTTGTTACTGGGGATTGAACCCAGGACCTTTGCACTGAGCTGCATCCCCAGCCCTTTTATTTTTATTTTTAGCAATGTAAGTTGCTAAATTACCCAGGTTGGACTCCAATTTGGGAACCCCCTGCCTCAGCCTCCCAGAATGCTGGGGTTATAGGCGTGTGTTGCCGCCCCTGTCTGCTAGCCCCCTTTTCAGGTCTTTTATTCATTCACCTACAGATGTTTGGTGGCCGCCACAAACTAGCTGTGTAAACACAGCCCAGGCATTTGACCTCTGGGCCTTGACTTTGTCAATGGGATAATCAGTGAACCTGTCTCATATAATTTACATTGGCAGGGAGGAGCCTATGGCAGGCTTAGATCAGTGCGCAGCACCTGGCAAGACCTCAGGAAAATGCTAGAGTTGTTTTCAAAGCCCTCCGTTAAGCCTGGGGTGCCGCAGGGTGTAAACGGGTGGGAGCCCGTTTAATTCAGTAGGGAAGGTCAGACACATACAAGCTCCAGTGCACCAGAGAAGGGGACCGGTCTTCTCCCTGATGTGTCCTATCACCCTCCAGGACCCACCCGGAGAAACTGTTCTTATGCACAGATAAAGGAAAGTGTCTTCTTCCTCTTGGTTTCTTTGTTATAATACTTGCATTTTGCTATTTCTAATCCCGTGATTATGTTAAGGGCAGTCTTGCAAATGTATAACTTTAAAAAGTCAATCAACGAAATAATGTCTGTCATTGTGGCATCTAGAAAACAGACCATGCTTTTGTTTTAATTTTCTTACAAACATCACAATGCTTTGCGTGATGAGTGGTCGTCAAATGTGTATGCCTATTATCTGCCTCTCTTAGGTACTTTCTGTGCAAAAAATAAGGATCAGCCCTGTACTCCTTGCCCCGTAAATAGTTACTCCAGCACAGGCGGACAAACAGCGTGTAACATCTGCAGAAAATGCGAAGGTATGGTTTCAAAGATGTGCCCTTTCCTTGGAAGGCTTTGGGAAGATGGGCTTTTATTCCCTCCTTACTAATTGTTCTCTACTGACAGTCTTAGGCATCAAGTATAGTAGCTCCTCTGTCCATGGTCAAGCCTAGTAAAATCATCTAACATAATAGCAGCTACTGGTGGTGAAGCTTTTTAAATAGTGGAGGACACATTCACTTAAGAAGACAGGGCGTATGAGTGAGCAGTGTGAAAATGTCTGTATGGAGATTTCAAGTTAAGCGTTGGACTCTGAGGTCATTATGGATACACGGAGAGCGTAATTTTCACTGCTGAGCGTAAACTTGCTTCCTGGGTGTGGAGGTGAAGTGTGATCTCACACACGATGTCACTGGGGGCTTTACAGGTCCCTTCAGGATGAAGAAGCCGTGCTCCCCGACCAGCAATGCCGAGTGCGAGTGTCCCCCAGGGTACAGCTGCTTGGGGCCAGACTGCGCCAGGTGTCACCCACATTGTGAGCCAGGCCAAGAATTCACAGAAGAGGGTGGGTCTGCTCCCTGCTCCTCCCCCGTCTGGTCCCATGTGTTGTGTAGATCTGTCCTGTGACTTGTAGAACCTTAAAGCAATAAGTAACTAACCAGTGTCAAATATGGCATTAATGCCATACTTTATTTTTTTTATTTTTTATTTTTCGTCTTTGTGAGACAGGGTCTTGCTATGCAGTTCAGGATGTCCTTGATCTCACTTTGTAGTCCAGGCTAATCTCAAACTTGCAACGATCATCCTGCCTCAGCCTCCCGAGTGCTGGGATTACAGGCGCATGCCACCATGCCTGGCCCTAATGCCATATTTTAATACATAGTAGATTTTAATTAATAGGATAATATTTCCATTATTTTTCCATAAATGGAAATAAATTTGAAATCAAGGACATTCATTAATAGTCAGAACAGTGCATTTTTCTTATTATCTATTTTTTATTTTGCTCTTTAAGTTTTAGATTTCTTTTCTTTTCTTTTTTTTTTTTTTTTTGTCTTTTTGAGACAGGGTCTCACTATGCAGTTCAGGCTGGCCTTGAACTCATTGTGTAGCCCAGGCTGACCTCAAACTTGCAACAGTCCTCCTGCCTCAGCCTCCCAAGTGCTGGGATTACAGGTGTGCTCCACCATGCCCGGTTTGGGTTTCTCATATAAGAGAAACCATGTGATATTTAAACTTGAGTGTCTGACTTACTGCACTTAACATTATAGTTTCAAGGTGCACCAATTTTCCTAGAAATGACTGAGTTCATCCTTCTTTAAGGCAGAGTAGTACTCCATTGAGTGTAATACCACATTTTCTTTATCCATTCATATGTTGATGGACATAAAGTTCACTTCCAAGATTTAGCTGTTATGAATTGTGCTGCTATAAAATGGGTGTGCGTGAGTCACTGAAATATGATGTCTTTCACTCTTTTGGGAAAATATGTACGGGGGAATAGCTGGGTCAAATGGAGAACCAGGCATTTCAATACATTTTAAACATCCCCAATTTGAGTAAAACCTAGCAGCTTAGGGTTTTGTTTCAAGAATTAATTATTTGCCCAACTTGTACTAAGTTAGCAGCTTTATGCTGCTTACCACAAGGAAAGTTATGAGATGATGAAATGTTTATTTTTATCTGTGCTTTTTCTCCAAGGTTGTAAAGACTGTTATTTTGGGACATTTAATGATAAGAAAGGTGGCATCTGTCGACCCTGGACAAAGTAGGTATCATTTCACTTTGCTTACAGAATAAAGCCTCTGGGTTAAACTGTTTGAAACACAAAGAATTCTATCACTGAAGCTTTTTCACACCTGCAGAATGCAGAGTGACAGGCAGTCCCTGCTGACGGGCAGTGCGGGGACACTGGGGGGTCAGACGGATTCATGTCCAAGCCAACATTTCTCTTCAGAAAGAACGTCCCAACACTGAGCTCGGATTTGCAGGCCGGGGTGGGGCATCTGCTGCCCTCTGCACCGTCTGCTCTTCGTTCCCTGCTCCTCTCTGATCTCTGCTCCTTTACCTTCCCTGTCATCGAGGGACAAGGAGCTTTGCTTCCTCCCGCACGTGTCATGTGCACTTGGGCACATGGCTGTCACACGGAGCAAGGAGCTCAGAGCATCTGGCCAAAGGCGTCAGTGGCCGTGAGGTCTGTGCCAGGCTGCATGAACTGTGCCCTGCGCCCGTGCTGGGCCATGCATGCTGTGTGTGTGTCCCGAACCACAGCGGCACAGGGGGGGATGGGACATGTCGGAGACTGACGGCAAGCTGAGGGTCCTGTGGCCAGTGGACGCTGATGACAAATCTCTGGGCTTCATATTGCATATGCCTTTGTCCTTTTTGATTTTGTTACTAGAAGATAATTTTTATTATTTTACAGTTACATTTTTATTCTATTTTATAAATGTTTTGGTTTGGTAACATGAGGGATGGATGGATGGGTGGATGGATGGATGGATGGATGGATGGATGGATGGATGGATGGATTGACTGAGACAGGGTCTCACTGTATCAGCCAGGCTGGCCTCAAACTCCAGGTGATTCTCCTGCCTCAGCCTCTCAAGTTCTAGGATTACTGCTGTGGGCCACCAGGCTAGCTCTAGAATTTTTCTAAAGGTCTTTTCTGTCTCTCTCTGTCTCTGTCTGTTACTCTCTGTGTCTGTCTCTGTCCCTTTCTTGGTCTCTCTGTCTCTCTGTCTCTCTCTGTCTCTCTGTTTCTCTCTGTGCTGGGGATTGAGCCCAGGGCCATGCACATACTAAGCAAGTCCTATACCACTGAGCTACAGTCTGGACACCCACTTCTAAAGTCTTTCAGCACAAACTGACCAGAGTATTCAGTCATGAAGGATTCAGTCATAAATCCTTCTGACCCCCCAGTGTCCCCACACTGCCCGTCAGCAGGGACTGTCTGTCACTCTGCATGTGTGGAAGCTGTGTGGAAGCCTGGTTGGAGCAGGCCTCTAGAGGGTGGGTGGGTTTCGGGTAGGTTAAGGGAAGGGAGAAGGTGTATCGGCAGCGATGCTGGTGGGGGTGATGGTGAGGACAGCCACGGAGTACCATGTGGGACAGACATGAAAGAGTGTGTCCCTGAGACACATCCAGCCCCTTCTCACTACCGCCTGACTTTGCAGAGGAGACCTGAGGCTTAGACAGGCTGTGCAGCTCCCCCAGTGCCACTCTGGGAAGGGCCAGGTGCAGGTCACGCCTTGCTCTGTCTGATGCCCGGGCTGAAGGCTTAACGCTGTTCCATCTTCTGCATGTGCCAGAGAGAGGGGATATGAGCCTGAAGTTGGGGGGCAGGGGCAAGGGACTAACTAGGCCAAACTTCCTGCACCCTGCAGCCACGGAACCAGGGGAGCCCCATATCGCCCCCCAGCCTCAGGGGAAGGGAGGATCTGCTTGGGCAGGTGGAGTAGGAGAGCTGTGGGGACTTTCATAAGCCACGTGCGCGCTGAAGGAAGACGGATGGCGGGAGGCACTCCGTCAAAACATCTCTGTCTGTGAGCCCGGGCCGGCCCAGCCTTGTCACTGGGCTGCTTTGCGGTTGACAGATGTCACAGTTTCTCCTTGGAATCCTCGGTACCTAAATTAACTACTGGACCCTCTCCCCTCGAATTCTCTAAGGTGCTCTTCGAATGGAGAGACGGAACTTGCGAATGGGACAAAGGAGAGGGACGTGGTCTGTGGACCAATTCCAGGTGCCTTCCCGCCAGGTACTGCCTCCACCCCGGGCCCTGCCTGGGAGAGACCAGGGAGTGGCTGTGTGGCCATCAGAGCAAGGTGAATGTCCCGGACCTGTCCCAGCTGGTGTGGAACCTCCTGGGCTCACGACACCCCGAGTCCTCGACCACAGCAGCAGCTCCCTGGTGCCTTCCCTGCTGTCCGCTGCCTGAGGTTCCCACTGGTGGGCAGTGCACAGTGACGGTCGCCCCAACAGCCACTGCGCCACGATGAAGGCCGAGGAAAGGGGGTTACAAGACCCCCCGTGTTCTGTGTGCCAGAAAGGCCCAAGCGGCTTATTTTTTGTGAGCCTTCAGGGCAATTTAAGTTGCTTTGTTTTAGAGTCATCTAACTTTATACTAAGTTAGCAGGTCAGTCCTGAGCTTAGGAGTTTGCAGTGTAAGGAGAAACCCAAGCATAACCGTGTAAACACCTTCCTTCCCGGGTCTCTCCTTGTGCTCTGTGCAGGACCCTCTCCGCAGTTCTTCACCGTCCTTCTGGTGCTGTCAGCTCTGGCTGTGTTCCTGCTGATCTTCTGCTTGTGCCAGTGCTGTGTCATCAAATGGAGCAGGAAGAAGTTCGTGTACATGTTCAAACAACGTAAGACCAATGTAACAGTATTAGATATGAGCACTTATAGGACAAGATTTTACGGTGTGTATTAGGCAGCTTTTCCATTCCTGGGACACAGTGCCCTATGCCTCAAACTTAAAGGAGGAGAACTTTGATTTGGCTTCTGGTTTCAGGAGATTCAGTCCATGGTCAGCTGGCTCCAAGGCGGGAACATCATGGCAGAAGGGTGTGGTGGAGCAAGGCTGTTCAGTTCATGGGGCAGGAAGTAGAGCAGGGGAACAGTGCCAAAGAGGAAGGGGCCAGGGACCAGATGTAGCCCCCAACATCACCCTCCCTGACCAGCCAGGTACCCCCAGAAGTGTGCTTTATTAATCCTCTAGGAAGCTCCCAAGCTAATTAAGTTAACATAATTAAATTGAATCACCCCCAAGTAAAAAGGAAAAGAAGATGTTTTTGAAAGTTATAGAAACAAAGTTAAGGGGATGGGGATTTAGCTCAGTGGCACAGCGCCTGCCTGGTAAGTGCAAGGTTGTGAGTTCGATTCCCGGTACCGGAAAAAAAACAAACAAAAAAAAGAAACAAAGTTAGAAACAGCAGTTATGAAGCAGTGGGCAGTGTCTTCCCCACAGAGACAATGGCAATGTTTGGGGACAGTTGTAGTCACAGCTCGGTGGTGTGAGGTGCTGTTAGCATCTAGTGACGGAAGCAGGGATGCCGCTAAACCACAGTGCATAGGACAGATCCCTGACAGAGATGTGGCCCCCAATTTTAGGCCTGCTGGAACGGAGACAGCATGGCTATGGGACAGCAGATCCCAGGAGTCTAGAAAAATAAGTTTGCTGCAACCTGAGGTGTGTGAATGTGTGCACAGGTACATGGGTCAGTCGACAGTGTGCACACGACAGGGGCAAAGAGGACTCAGAGAGGAGCGTCGCCGCTCCCCGTGCTGACCCCTGCTTGGTGCACAGCCTGGCCTTCCGTTCAGAGCTGCCCAGAGCGGGGCATGGCGTATGAGGAGAGAGTTTAAAGTGCGTTTAATGAGGTGGATTATTGTCACACCAATCTAGATTAAATAGAAACTCTAATCATCAGGGCCCTTCATTAGTTCATTAAACAAGATACCATTTCTTTACATACGGCGTCTGGCAGGGTCAGTACCCACTGACCAAAGCTGATAGTGTTCATAGCAAGTTTGCCATCTGTGCATGGGGGCGGCCTGTTTGGGGGTTTGGTCTTTATGGAAGATGGGATGACAGGCTAGACTTAGCAAGAGGGACTCATGGACAGGAAGAACATTCTGGGGGCAAATGTCACCCCAAACACTCTGCGATTCGACAGTGTCTATTTGGAGGTTGTTGATTAACATTAGTAAGTCCTTAATCTAAACATGCACTACTGTACTTTTGTGAGACTCTTTCACATTGTGAAATATTCAGAGAAACACATACGTGTGCAGCTGAACCCATTGTAAAATAAACTCTACCCGAGTGGAGAAACAGAACGTAACAAGCTCCCCGGAAGCCCACCGTGAACCCCTCCAGACACACACAGGCCTCCCTGCCACAGCTGCTAACCACACTGAGATTTTTATAGCATCCACTTCCTTGCTCTTCGGTGTAGTTTTGCTACGCAACGGCTCAGTTTCGACAATGCAGGCTGCTCAGGAACTTCAACCAGGTGGGGTCCTACTGTTGGGACCCCGTGTCTTGCTACTGTCACCCAGCAGTGTGTCTTTACGATGTGGAGCCCACCTCTAGTGGCTGCGGTCCGCTACTCTGTTCTCTGCTGTCGCTGTGTCTCGTTTATCCATCCTGACCTTTGTGGAATGGGCATGAGAGAAGTGATGCTGGGGTGTCTGACATACTGGGGGACTGACCTCAGGGCCTTTACACTGAACTGCAGCCCTGTCTTTATTTTTATTTTGAGACAGGGTCACGCTAAATCATTAAATTGCCCCGGCTGGTCTCAAAGCTTGCGATCCTCGTGCCACATCCTTCAGAGTGCTGAGATAACAGGTGTGCAGCACTACGCCTGACTGGCTGAATATTTTTGTCCACATATCTCAGACCGCATAAGCGTGTGTTTCTGTTTTGTAGGTTTTTTAGCCTAGGGATAAACTTTCTGGGGTATGAGGAGCACGGATTTTGGTCCTTAGCAGATAAACTGTTTTCAGAACGGCTGGAGCCCCTCTCCAGGGGGAGGGAGAGCCCCTTGACTGTGTCCTTCCTCACACTGGCTATCACCAGGCTATTTTTATCTCTCTGGGGCTGACAGTAGTAGCTCAGTGTGGTTTTACTTTTCATTTCTTGATTTCTGGTCAACTTAGACACCTTTCCATGTTTGATTGCCCATCTGGATTTCCTCCTTTGTGAAGTACCTCATGAATCTTTGGAGCATTTTCCCACAGACTCAGCTGTCCTTTTCTCATTGATTTACAGGTACCCTCCAGTCTGCTGCAGACGTCTTTCCCTACTCTGTGGTTCGTTATTTCCTTCCCTCCGAGCTCACACCTCTCTCGTAAATCTCCAATGTGTCACCTAAACCCGACCCCCAGGCCCACCACCCGCCCCCACCCAGAACACCCAGGGTTCTGGATAAGATGATTCCCAAGTGTTTATGAGTAATTAGTGAGTGGCAATGGAGTTATAAGTCATTTTCTAAAAACTTTAGTCCATTTTAAAAAAGCCCTTTTATTCTGAAATAACTACAGATGCCAGACAAGTACAGAGACAGCGCAATGTCTTTGTACCTGCCACGTGCCCTTCCTGGGATTCTGCCACACAAGGATCAGCCCCCAGCACTCCTCTTTGCCCACACCACTCTCTTCTCTACAATCCTTAACACCCGGCAACTACCAATCTGATTTCCACCTCTCTATCGTCACTTTAGGGGTGCTCTAGAAACGGAATTGTGTAGTGTATGACCGTACAGTAATCCAAGTCACCGTGTTTCAGTAGCTCCTTCTGCTCTTGTTAGTTTTTCGCTTGTTGGAGACCAGGTCTCACTATGTTGTCCAGGCTGGTCTTGAACTCCTGCGTTTAAAAAATCCTTCCACCTCAGCCTCCCAAGTGGTTGGTACTACAGTTGTGTGCCACCTTGTCCAGTTCTATATCTTTGAAGAAAGAAAAATCCTGAAGATGGGCTTGGGTGTGGATCCACAGCTGTTTCTATGTCTTCCTAGAGTGGATGGTCACAGTCGGAGAGCTTTGGTCTTGGTGGCCCGCCCACTTCCTGGTCTTGTGGCTGGAGAGCGCAGGCTTTTCTCGGTCTGTTCTTGTTCCATACCCACGGGCATTTCTAGGTAGCCAGCTCCCCCCGCTTCCGTTCTGGGGTGTCTGCAGCAGAAAGAGAACTCGGAGAGTGCATCGCCACGGTAGTCCTTGGACCCTGAGGTTTGTTAGCTGGTCTCCCTTCTCCTCTCACCTCCCAGAGACTTTTCCTGTTTTATATGTAACGTCCACAGTTTTCAGCAGTCCTCAGCGGCCAGAATGCGCCCAAGAATGACAGCTCCACCTCCCAAGGCAGGTCTCCCTTTTTCAGTTAATCTTCGGTGTAATTTCAAAAGGTGTCCCACTGATATTTCTGAAAGTCTTGACCATTTGTTGCAAGTTCTTAGGGTGGGTAAGAGCGTTTGGTCGTGTTGTTGTTCATAGTAATAAGTCTGTGGAACTGGGATAAGGTGCTTTACCTGTCAGCCTATAGGGAAATGTCTGCGTAGTTGCTCAGCAATAATACAAATACTGCATCCTGACATGCAAAAGAAAACCAGGAAGTGGAAGCAGAAATCAGTTCTTTGCTTACTGACATGGAAATATCATATCTCTAAACGTGGTGCCATAGAATTTTCAAAAGAGACTGTTCAATCTCTAAGTACCCTGAGATTAAAATATATCTTAGTGACTTGAAAATACTGCTATGCTTAGGCTATTTGATGCTATAGTAACTCTTGCTTAATACTTTTATAGTCACTGCAGAAGATCAAGAAGATTCTTTTTACATAAAGAAATGTTTTTTAAAATAAGTTTTTAAGTTTTAAAAAATAAGTTTTTAAAGACCGATGGAATATTTGGTAAGAGGATAAAAATCTTAAGCCTTAGAAAAAGCTCATACATGTTTTTACCTCTCCTGTGGATAAGTTGGTGAGTTAAAGTGAAGAGTGTTTGCGGCTTACAGCTGTCCTGCAGTGTGGTTCACGGAATGCGGATGTTACAGGTTTAACACGGACAACAAACTCTTAAGTGTCTTTCACATTATTTTCTAGCGTTTATGAAACCAGTACAAACGGCCCAAATGGAGGATGCCTGCAGTTGCCGATTTCCACAAGAAGAAGAGGGGGAGTGTGAACTGTGAGCAGAGGCGTTGGCGCTCTCTTTACAGGAAATGGGAATTGGAGGATCCCACGCTCCTGTCCCTCTGAGATGTGAAACACCGTTATCTCCAGCAATGCTTTCGAATGCTAATGAACTGGCCTTTTAAAAGGCCCACTTCTAGCTGGGTGTGGTGGCGCACGCCTGTAATCCCAGCACTTGGGAGGCTGAGACAGGAGGACTCCAGTGAGTTTGAGGCCAGCCTAAATTATATAGCAAGACCTTATCTCAAAACAACAACAACAACAACAACCACTTTACCGCTTTGAACAGAGCTGGCAGTGAGAGAATGTTTTCTAGACGTGACTTAATAGGTTTGGACATTTTCTTTGAAACCCAAAGAAAATGATGGTGCCAATTCAGTCATGTTGGCCAAGGGTCTAGCTGAAGTCATCACCATCAACGCAGGTGTGTGTGTGTGTGTGTGTTAATGTGACATATGACAGCAAGCGTCAAGATGCAGTGTACTTTCCACTGGGTCTGTCATGTAGCACAACGACCTTTAGCACAACGACCTTCTCCACTGTCAGGAGGAAAATGATGACGTCCCAAGTTTGGGTCAAGAACAAGACATCTCAGACCCTGAGAAAGCATTTCAGAAAGAAGGCGGGTATCTTTGCCAAGCTCCTGGTCCTCTCCATCCCCACCCCGTCTGCCTCTGTCCTTCCGACCCACGTCATGTGGATGAGTGGGAGACCCATGAACAGTATCAAGCAGTCAGAACATTAGTACCGTAGCCTCCTCGCAGCCCAACCAAAGTGTGAGAGCCGGGCCACCAAACTCCCGTGGCCAAGTCCAACCACCATTGGCCTCGTGTGGCTCAGTAGTCTTTGCTTTTTTCTTCTATGTGTGTGTTTTTGAGACAGGGTCTCACTATGCAGTTCAGGCTGGCCTTGAACTCACTTACGTAGCCCAGGCTGGCCTCGACCTGGCTTTACATTTTTAAGTGGTAAAAAATATCAAAAGAAGAATATTTCATGGGACATAAAATTGTACAAGACTCAACTTTTAGTCTGTAAGTGAGGTGTGCGGGAAACGCGGGCACGTTTACGTATTTAGTGGCTGCCTCTGCACGACGGCGACAGAGCTGAGGTCTTGTGTGAGGACTGTACAGCCCTAAGATATTCACCATCTGATCCTCTCTAGGGCCAAAGTCAAGGTTAGAGCACCCATCCGTATGACACTTCCCTTCCTCATCTTCGGCCAACCCTGGGCAACCTCTCTTGGGAATTTTGAGCCTATCCCTTTTTCAAGAAAAAGCGTCTGTTACATAATTATGTACCTTAAAACTATATTATTCAGTTTGGCTTATTTTTGAGCCTTATGAATATTATAAGAAGGTATGATTTTTCTGTATGGAGACTTCTGTGATTGCTGTAATCATTGAAAATTATATTTATAAGCCTGTCCATGCTGTGCTTGAGTGCATTCATTTCCCCCAGACCTCGCACCATCATGTACCAATCCTTGTTTACCACGCGCCCCTGCAGCTCTGTTCAGGCTCCTTGTCATCAGCAGCAGTGTGGCGGCGGCTGCCCTTTTACGTGTCTTCTGCATAGCAGCGCCTCTGGGGAGCCTTCCCAACAGCGGAGCTGCTGGATGTCAGGGGGTGCGAATGCTCAACTTTATGAGCAAGTGACTACACCAGTGGGGTGTGCTCAGTTACATAGACCTAACAAGTGCCCCTCCAGTCTTCATGGGTTACGGCAGAACAGCAGAGGCACATTCTAGCCCTCTAGCCATGGCTCTGTCCTCGCTGTTTCACTCTGGGATTTAGAGGGAGGAGCCACTTCTACCTGGAACATTGGCCATCTTCCGGGGAAGGAGAGTTGTCATTTCTGCTCAGAGTCGGTTAGATGCAGACTTTCGGAGCCGGTCGTGCAGCTTGGGCAGGTGTGGTGGAGCAGAAAAAGCTCACCGTTGCACGTACAGGGGCAGCAAGTGTTTCTCCATAGCATCCCGGTGCTACACAGCTGTTCGGAGAGTTTCTTCTTGTTTATGCTGCTCCTGTCATGTCACCTGCCTGTTCCAGGGGGCCACATCTTTGCTGCCCTCTGTCCTTGTCACACTAATCAATTTTGCCAATTTAGTGGGGATAGAATGGTATTTCGGTGGGATCTTATTCTGCATTTCCTTGATTACCGAGATTATCCGTCACATGTTCACATGCTGTGTTTCTTTTCCATGAAATGCTTGCTCATGCCTTTCATTTTTAAAAACTTGATTGCTTGTCCTTTGCAACTCATAGAATTTCTTTAGTAGTCTAGATAATAGTATTTTTTCACTTATATCTTTTTAGAGGCATCTTTCTTCTCTTTCTAGTAATCAGCAAAAAAAAGTCCTTCACTGAACTGAGCTAAACTTATTTTTTTTTTCTTAAGGTTGACCTTTTTTGTTGCCTGATGTAGGCAATCCTTTTCTGCATGATATGCTAAAAATATTTGCTCACATTTCACAAAAGTTTGAAGTTTCATCTTGCATATTTAAGTCTAACCTACAGGAACTGATTGTACGGGAAGGAAATGACTGGATTTATGCATGTTCACTTGATAGTGGTTGAACCACCAGTCCCCACCCTGGATATTGCAGGGCTCTGTGGGTCTCCAGCGTTACTTCCCTTACCCGCCAGGCTTCCCCAAAGCCATTTCCATATTACATTTCATGGTTGATTCCTATCCACGCGTCTTTGTTGCAATAGCCTTGTAGCCCTTGATATCTACTATGGCCCTCTGCCTTCCAGCTCTACTTCAGTGAGGCCTTGGCTACTCTCGGCTATTCATTCTTCTATATAAATTTTAGAATCTAATTCCAAAAGATTTTCATTGAAAAAATTCTTTTCTTCTTTCTTTCTTCCTTTCATTTTCTCTCCTTTTCTCCCTCCCTCCCTCCCCCCTCTCTCACTCTTTCTATCTCTCTGTGCTTTCTTTCTTTCCCTCTCAATGCTAGGGATCAAACTCAGGGCCTCACACATGCCAGGCAAGCACTCTGTCACTGAGCTACACCTTCAACCTTCAATTGAAATTTCACTTGACCTATGTAGATCTAATGTTTAGGGAGAGTTTACATCTGTACCAAGTTAACTTACATAGCAAGTGCTCGGCATATATTGGCTTTCCCCTTCCACAAGGATGACGCTATATTCCTTCACTTAGTGAAGGCTTTGCTTGTGGCCTTCAGTACAGTTTTTTAAAGTTTTTTTTTATTAGGACATGTTTGCAGTACAAACATGCAGTAATCATTTTAGAATCATTTTGAGAGTTGGTATATGTACACAGTGCAGCTTGTTTCTTTTTTAGAAATTTCATTACAGTTTTATAAAATTTCTCCAGAAATAGTTCTTAATCTTTTGTCAGATTCGTTTTTAGGTACTTTGCTTTGTTGTTACATTTAAAATTTTTTTTGTCTGTTGAAAGGTAGAGATGCAGATGATTGGTTTATTTATTTATTTGTTTATTTATTTGGTCTTTTTGAGACAGGGTCTCACTATGCAGTTCAGGCTGGCCTTGAGCTCACGTTGTAGCCCAGGCTGGCCTCAAACTCACAGCGATCCTCCTGCCTCAGCCTCCCGAGTGCTGGGATTACAGGCGGATGATTGGTTTATAGTGCATGGCAGACAGCCTCTTTGTCAGACTTCCCTACTGTTTCTGAGAGCACACAGGCAGGTTCTTTCGGTGTCTTTACTTAGACAATCATGTTATTTACAGTGATAACAATTCCTTCTCTTTATTCCTTATGCTCGACTTACCGCTTGCCTTCTTGCTCATATGATAGTCTGATGACAGTTTTTCTAGGAAATACTTTCAGGTTTTCTTTTTTTTAAAATCAGTGTAATTGATGAGATTGAGACAGGAGAGAAGCACCTGACATTTCCTAAGAATATTTTTCATAAACTTTCTCTTCTGTGGCTGCCCCATATGTCTTCCCTCTGGCTGCGGCTCCAGCGGTCTTCCCGCGGTCTCTCTGGGAGAATGAAGCAAGCCTGGGCCACAGGTCTACCCCAGATGCCTGCGCCCACGGGCCTTCTGGATACAGGGGAAGCCCTTCCCTCCCCGCGACTGAACAGCAAGCCTGACCCAGTGCACACGTGAGCCTGCCTTTTTCCTTTAAAAAACCAGCTTCCCCCCTGCCCTTTCCCCCCTGCTCCCCCAGATGCATCGTAAGGCCTGTCCCACCTGGCATACTTTTGCCCATTCATGATTTCTGTCTGGAAAAGAGAAGGCTGAGCTGCCCACACCAAAGACCACTGGCCCTGAATAGACCAGCAACCAAGGCTGCTGACACTGAGGGCAGCTAGCTCCAGAGAACCGTGGAGAGCAGCACAGACTTGCCAGGAGCTGCCTCTCCGGTGACCGGAAGAGTGCCCAAGTGCCGCAGGCGGCAGCTGGCTCTGGCTGCCCGGGGGGTGGTGAAAGGCTGCGGCGCTAAGAGCTGAAAACTGCCGGCACCCAAAGCTCGGAGCTGTTAACCCTGAAAAGATGCGCATTCTGCCTACTCGTAATTTCTATCTGAATTGAGCCAAAGAACCCTTAGCTGCCTGGTAACATGTTGGTGGCCTACGAAGGGACCTGCGTGTTGGGAGGACCCTGAAGAAGAGGCCTAACGGTGTGACAGCCAGGGCAGACTCTCATGGGTGCGAAGCAGCCGCCTGAACCAAAGCCACCGCAGAGTTTGGCTTTGGGAACAATCCCAGTTCTCTTATCTATTGCCGGTAAATGAATCTTTCTCCACCCTTTTATCACCTCATTGGGCTTCTTCGGCTCTGTACTACCAGATGCAGGCCTATTGCGCCTCATTACAATTTGTCCCTGATGACAAACACAGAAAATTCGCAGCATACTGTGTTTATCTGGAGGCTGTGGTCATTCCATAGGTGATGTGATGTCTTTATCACGGTACATTTGGTAAACTGCGTAAAAGTTACAAGGGAAAATAACATAGGAATTTGGAATATGGGTCATCTCTCCCCCGAGGGACAGTTGGTAAACACAGAAAGAAAATGTAACAGGATAAAACAGCCCCCTTTTGGGTTTAATTTAGGAAACATGATCATTCAGTTTAATAAAAATAAATTTCTATGATTGATACATCAACCTCTTTAGGAACAGACAAGTTGAAAGTAGTTTCAAATGGTTAAAAACAAGCCTGGGTTATTTCTGAAGCAGATTTTGATTTTCTGCTCCGTGGAAGATGGCACTTTGACGGAAACTTTTGATAAGGGGGGCGTCTGGCTGCTACAGTGGGCGTCTTCCTCCTGCGCAGGGCAGATGTTTCCATCGGTGGGTGGGTGCCCCGAGCAGGCGGGGTGTGGTCTTTGTGGTGAGCTGGGAGAGGGCTCGGTACCAGCACTTTTTAGAAAGGACGCTATAGTGAGATGCAAGTCTATCTTAATAGAAAAAAGCCAGACTAAGAACCCCAAGAGCTTGTTTTGCAGAGCTCATAAAGGCCAATAATGAAGTAATGTACCGTTATTTGTCAACAGTGGAAACTTAGACGTTGGTGCCAAGGTATGTGAAGAACTTAGACTCTGAGATTTCTTTAGCCTCAACAATTGACTTACTAGTCTCCTAAAAATGAATGTTGTTTTATGTCGGTACTGATTCAGAGCTGTATTTCAGGTTAATTAAACCATCAGGCCTTTTAAACAACCTGTTTCCAAGTCACGCAAGAGGCTGTTCCTGGATCTGGTGAAGGAGCAGACTATGACATGGAAATGACCTGCCACTGAACTAGTGTCAGCTAAGGCGTCAGCACCCACCTGGGAGCACAGTGGGACACACAGGTACAAAGATGAAGGCACTTTCCACCTGGGAACTGTTGGTCAAGGGGACTGGCAAGGTCAGTCTGACGGCAGCCATGTCAGGATCTGAACAGGTCTCTAAGAGAATTCCTCATTTGACGCCACG